TTCTTTCATTTCCCAGATTCTGGACTTTATCTATTGACCAGTTTTGATTTTTATTTTGATCTATTTTGAATTGCGTGACACTGAAAACCAGCAATTGGTCTGTTACGGGAGTTAAGAGTTGCTCAAAGTTAAATTCCCCCAAATAGGTAAGGTTACCGTATAGGTGTCTCGCGTCCAAGTCATGAAGCGCGACCGGTTCAAACTGTAGATACCTAAACCCTTATATCAAATTAAAGCTCATAGAGCCAAGAATCTTGAGAGAAAATGAATTGCGAAATTTTTCACGACCTCTAAATGTGAGCGGCCGAATCATCTTTTGGGTCCATGTTGAAAGCTACAAGTCAAAGGGAATTTGTTCGTACGTTTGCCCTCAAATTTGGACAGTAGCTAGCTTGACATATAATTAACAAAAAAATCGTGAGTGATTTTTCTACGATTACTCCATATTTTTTTAAATCCCATTTCGAAAATTTTTTATAACTTTTCACTGAAATTGACTATGGCAAATCGCGGACACGATTTTTTAACGCTTTAGGTCCGGAAACTGAGGGATAAATTAGATAAACGAAAAAAAAATTTCGCTTTTACTTGTAACTTTCAAAAGGTGAATCGGACGCTCGAATTCAGAGGTCGTAAAAATTCGACAACTTGATAGCCAGCTCTATAAGCTTTAATTTGATATAGGGGTTTGGGTATCTACAGTTTAAATCGGACGTGCACGTGAGGCAACTGTGGAGATATAACCTTACGTTTCCATTTCCCAATCCGAAGAAGCACTCTCTACTCTCTGTTCTCTATCGCCGAGAGTATCAATTCAGTCACGTATCCAGTTCTGAACCTGCTGACAACCATTCAGTTCCCACCCTATTTCTCGCGTGTGGCAGCTCGCGCGTATCCGCGAGGGGTGGTTACAAAGGAATACGACATTATGTGTGTTCTTACATGGAATACAGCTGTTCTTGACTTCACGTGTAGCTGGACTGAAAACAACATGGTTCTCACAAAAGCATACTTAAGATACGTGCAGTCCGCTTGTTTTGGCGTTGTCTGTAGCGTAAAAGCGAATATTGTGTTCGTCAGGAGACGGGCTAACCAGGCAAGCAAGCAAGTCACGCTGTATGCAGTTTGTCCAACGCTGGAGAGTGTTGTTGTTTGGGATGTGAGGCGAGGAGAAAAGGTACATGTACATAAATTTACGACTTCTCAGGCAACAAACTGCGAGAAATATAAGCTTATTTTTTTCCCTTAGGGTTAGTTTATTGTGATCACAATTTGACTGACTTTAATTGAGAACTATGATGCCTGATAAAGACAGTGCAGTGTGCATTTTACAGTTGAATGTCACTACAAACCTGTACAAACACTGCAAAATCAACTTAATTATTTTGATCAGCAAAACACAAGTAAAGCTCCATGCTGTCGAAAGTAAGAAACATTTTTGGTGCCAGTTTATCTTAAAATGGAAAGCATTTTCTCTTATGCGTCCATACTTGCACTTGTTGTGTCCTCAAATAACACCTCAAAAGAAACAGATGGAATAAGCTTATGTACAATTGGTGGATGATTTATTATTTGAGACCTTTGTGAAAAGTAAGTCACAGGCATTGTGTTCCAGTATGTACATGTGTCACTATATTAATAGAAATGAAATAAGTGATCTGTGTGTAAAGAATCATCTCTTTGATTTTACTTTGATGTGTTAATTGGAAGAGTTTGCTGTTTATTTATCTCACACGACTTATCTCACAGCTGAATTTATTTTCGAGTGTGCCACAACACTGATGTTGTTTTCTTGATAAACTGTTACAGGTTTCTGTACTGAAGGGAGACAAACATGAAGTGACGGCTCTACGAGTCAGTCCTGATCAACAAATTCTAGCTGTTGGGTAAGATAATGTTGATCTGAAATTGAAACTAGTCTTCAGGACGATAGCAATGTATTAGGACAGCAGGGATGGTACTGCAAAGTACTACAGTAGGGGAGCTAGTACTTACAAAGTACATCCATACCACATGTATTTATGTGGGTTGAGTTTGTTGTTGGCTCTCCCCTTGCTCCGAGGGTTTTTCTCCGGGTTGTCCAGTTTTCCTCCTTTTACAAAAACCAAAATCGTCAAATTCTAATTTGACTAGGATAGAGGATACATGTATATTACGAAATCTATTTTATCACATATTTCTTCATGTAGCTATGAAGATGGAACAGTCAAGCTGTGGAAATTAGAAGATAAAAGTTGTCAAGTAACCTTCAGGTAAACACCCAGTGGTTGCATTAAAAAACAAAACAAGTTTTTTTGTTCTCCTCAACCAGTTACATATATACAATTGTAGTCGTAGTATACTATAAAGTTTAGTTATCATTCGGTATAATGCTAGTGGAAGATTTCAAGAAGGAGATCTTGTTTACTTGTAAATGTTCCCATTAACTCTTCTCTGTTTGACAACAGTGGCCACAAGACAGCAGTCTCTGTACTTACATTTGACGATTCTGGTGGAAGGCTAGTTTCTGGATCAAGGGTATTTTCTTCAAACTAGTCTGTCGTATGAGTAGAAAACTAGTACTGACAGTAATGAGTGAGGTATACCTTAGGAGATGTTCAACTCCCTAGTACTGCCCCAGAAAATTATAAAATGCTGTAATAGCAATGTTTCATGTTGATAAACATTGATGTCATTTTGGATCATGTGCGTAATTGTATACCTTTGTATGCATGTGTGTATGGGAGGTGCGGTGACCTCATGGTTAGTGCCCTTGTCTCTGGATCGAGCGGTCCGGGTTCAAGCTCTGCCCGGGGACATTGTGTTGTGTTCTTGGGCAAGACACTTAACTNGTAGAAATACTCCTAGTCGCTTCATGCTACAGAAACCGGGATAAGCTCCGGCCTGATGGGCCACTTGGCTCGTATGCAGACTTTACCTTTTACCGTATGCATGTGTAACATGTATTTTTATCAAAATCATTTATTGTCAAAGGTTATTTATAAAATATTCCCATGTGTCTTGTCTTGAGAACTTTTTTAATGACTGTTAATAAATACTTATCCCCTTCGTGATACATGTCAAAGGAAGAGCATGTCAGTGTGAATTAATACCGTGGACAAATAAAGATTACCTACCTGTCCTGCCTACCCTACCTGTAGACATGTATCAATCACTCCTGTTTTCCTTGGTAATCCAGGACACTGACGTTATTGTTTGGGACACTGTTAATGAAGCAGGTATTTACCGGTGAGGATCTTAAAACAATATTATGCTTTTTAGTTGTTTTAATAGTAGCTGAGGTTGTTGGTGGGAAATCAATTCAGGAAGTTTAACTTGTAAATTCTACAGAACTTTATATTTGCACAGCTAGGCCTGGACAAGCACGACAGGTGAACTGTTATTAATTTATCAATAATTCAATCTGTTCTTTTTCTTGCAATGTATCTAGTCTTAAAGGCCACAAAGGACTTATAACACAATGTTCTTTCATGAGAAGTCAGAATATCCTGATAACAAGGTGGGTGATGACAAACATTTTAATTAGTGCTCATCTTGTCATGGTAATTAAACAATTGCCAAATTTCAAGGAAGATGTCAATCAATTTACCCATTGCAGAAAAGGTCAAAATTCAGTATTGAACATCAAATTTATTCCTTGTTCCAACAGTTTTATTCTGGACTGGATGCACAAATTATCTACTCGCATCTGATTGGTTTATAAAAAAAATTGAATTAGGTTGGCTTCCACCATAGCTTGGACATGAGCCATGAAACTAACCTTCACTGACAATATCCAGTTACCATGGACAAATTTACACATTGTCATGTGATTCGTAAAACAAACACTTTTATTCATGTTTTAAAGCCTGAACCAAATAGAATTGCTACAAGTGCTCCCTCCTCACTGTAAAGTGTGCAAGTCTGTTCAACCAAATACACATGGCACCAGCTGGAGTCCACTACTGACACTAAACATTACATCAGCATGCCTCCCACAATAATTAATACATGTAGTTACTAACATTAGATTGAGCTTATGATTTTGGTTTCTTTTCATCAGTTCTAAGGACAGTTTTGTTAAGTTCTGGGATCTTGACACACAACACTGTTTTCTTACTCTTGTTGGTCACAGGAGTGAGGTTAGTATATGACATGTACTTTAGCACTTGACATTAAAATGTAGAGAATGACTCAAAATTTGTCTAGACTGCAAGAAGATTTTATCTCGTGTACATGTAGCAGGTACAGTTATAAGGAAATCTATAGTTAGTCAGTTGAATAATCATTATAAGCTTTGTTTTAGGCAAATGTCTCTCTTTCAGAATTGCTAGTTTATTAGGAGCCTCTTTTAACTACCTCTTTCTCATTTGTATTCCAGGTCACTGGAATTCACATACGGTTGAATCCCGCTATTTCAAACTCTCAGGGGAAATGAAAAATAAATCCAAATAGCGAGAGTTTGAAATAACCAATAGTACAATGTAAATGATTGAGGGGCAAATCCAGGGGAAATGGTTTTGAGTGGGAAACAATGGGGAATTCAAATTAAAGGGCTCCAACTGTATTCTGTGGATCAAACTTTGATTGTCTCATGATTCATTGTGTTTTTTATTTTATTTTCTAAATGACAAAAGCGGACAGTACAGAAGTTACCCTTAAATAGTGAAAACATTCTTGATTTTTGGCTTAAAAGAGCCAAAATTTGTCCTGGAAGAATACTTTGTGGTGCTGTTGATTTTTTGGCTGTTTAGGTTTGGGGCTTTACTGTGTCCCATGATGAAACAAGGTTGATAACTGGATGTTCAGACAGTGAATTAAGAGTTTGGAAGATTAATAGTGGGACTGAGAGTGATGCAGAGGAATCCAGAAAAAACAGTGAGAAGCAAGATGGAAAGCGAAGTGCCAAAGAAGCAGAATTAGATGAAGAATCAGAAGCAAAAACAACTGAGGTACATGTACATGTAAACCAGTACTGGAAGGTCAAGCAGTCACTGTCAGTGTTAATTACACGGTGATTACTTGTATGTTACATTTAGCAAAGTCTTCTGTGAATTAGCAACCTTTAAAGACACAGATTTCTCTTTGTAGTGTTGCTGACTCAGTATAAAGTAGGAACTTGGAATGGTTGTAAGATAGTATTCTTCCTCAGTGATCACCTTTCACTGGATGCTTGATTCCAAAAATTTGAGTGACATTAGTGTCTCAAGGAAAATCTCAACAGAGAGAAGGGGGACACCCCCCAGGCCCCTCCCCAAAATGTACCAAATTGCTCCAAACCCCCTTCCCTCTGCAAACCCACTTCCCTCTGCAAACCCCCTTCCCTCTGCAAACCCCCAACCCCAGGATTGGCCACAGCAACTTTTACACTGGGCCCCTAAAAAAGTGGCTTGGGCTCCTAACTTCAAAAGTTAGGAGCCCAAAGGGCTCCTTAAAAATTTTCTTGGGCAACAGCCTTGGGTTAAAGATATGGAGAGGCTCCAGAGGGGAGTTTTTGTTCATTTTATAAACCAACTTTAACTAATAATATGTTAGAGTTTGTTTATAATAAGAATTGCAAAAATTACAGGATACGTGTGTTGCCAATTTGATTTGAAAATCCTTCATTTCCTTTAGGGAGGTCCGCTGTCTTGTACACTTATTGGCTCAATTTTTCGTCACAGCCATGAAAGAGTGGTAGCAGTAATGGCTGATTCCTCACAAACCTTCTTAGGATGTCTGGTATGTTTAGCAGCAGACTGCAGGCTGGTAGTAAATTTATGCTTCTGATATTAGTTTGTGTTAGAATAATTTTATTCACCTTTTCTCATCAATATAGGGCAATGATTCACAGCTTGAACTGTTCAAAATTTTAAATGACGAAGAAATCCAGAAACATCTACAAAAGAAATTAAAGAGGCAAAGGTTTGTTAAATGTAAAATAATTTTTGTTCTAAAATAGATTTGTTTAAACAGCAAGATATAAATTTCTTTTTGTACTGTTTAGGAAAAAAGCAAGAAAAGAAAACAGTGAAAAGGTATGTAAACTTAAGTTAACTCAAAGAACCTCATGCAGTTCTTGTCCAGGGGTTCATGCTGTGGCCTTGGTTGCTAGGCCAGGCAATTAAGCTACACAGTGTTACACTTTACCAAGAGGTATTAACGTGCAATGCCAAGTGTTAGGTAATCTGACATTCCCCTTGTAATGGAGTTACAGTTGATCCACAGAGAGTAACAATACTCCTTCTTAGACTTACGGCTTCATGCTACAGAACCCAGAGTTAAAAAACAACAATGCAAATGAGTCACTCAGCCTCTCCATCCAATGCAGTGCATTGAAACAGACTTTCAACCTTTAACCCTACAGTCAGTAATTTCAATTCAGGCTATGATACTTTTCCCAGTTTTTCTTGATATCAGTGTGACATATTAAGAATATTTCATTGGATGTCCTTACTCTCATTGAACAAGCCAATATATGTATATTTGTAATTCCTAATAGTTGTTCTGCTGATTAAATTGTATTTGAAGGAATTAGAATTAGATCTGGAAGTTACAAGAACAGTAGAAGATGAACTTCAAAGAATACATTCTCTTAAACTGCGTTCTAAGATCAAGTAAGGAAACCCAGAACTTACAGACATAATAAATCTGTTCTCAATTGTGTCTATTGTTTGACTATAAAAATAAAATTCATGCCCAGTTACTGGACTTGTATCTTACAACATTTGTACAATAGCATAGAACGCTTTTAACTGTCTTACTGATTGTATCATTGCAGATCCTTTGACTTGTACTATGATAAAACTGCTGAAGAATTAAAGGTATTTTCCCTGCCTTTTCGATTGTGTTGATCAAAAATCATATTTTAGAAGATTCATTTGCTGATATTTTTGTACTAGACTTCAGAAAATTAAACCTCTGGAGCAAGGCATGCGGTTTCTTTGTTTGGGCGATCAATTGTATTATAACTGTCTATTTTTGCCGAGGGCTACATGTAGGCAGAGGTTTGCTTTATTGATAACAGTATAC